GATTGTGGAGTTAAAGTCAACAGAGCCAGAGCTTGAATGAAGGCTGTCTGGTTGCAAAATCCATAGACTTCACCACTTTGCTCTTCTGTCTCCTCTTCAAAGAAAATGTCTTGAAGGGATGTCTACACTTGCTGTTGCCACTCATTTTCCATTCACCTTATAGCTCAGAGCAGGTTGTCTTCTGCTCTGATTGATCCATGAACTGGGTTATCCCCAAGATCACAAATGACCTCCTTCTTATTAAATCTATTGGACACAACTTAGTCCTCTGGTTTGTCTTCTGGACAGCATTAGACCTGGTTAATCCTTTGTCTTACAACATGCTGTGCCTTTGGATTTGTGAAATCACACCTTCCAAGTCTCCTCCTGTCTCTATTACCTTTGAAAACTCACCCCTTCCTTTTCCTCCTTCCCAATGTCCTCATAAAGATATCTCGTAGGCCATTTCTCCCTCCAGTTCACGTGTCCTGGGCAATCTAATTCATCCTTATGACTTCAATCACCAATTACTACCCAACATTCACCTCCATCCATAGTCTCACACTGCACCTGCTACGGCCTGGCATGTCTCTAGTTGGATGTCCCAGAGACTTTGAAAAGTCTAGAATCACACCCTGCCCATCACTGTTAACACTTACCCTCCTTCCTTCATGTTCCAACCAGAAAACACAAAGATTCACTTTTCTGGAGTGAACTCAGCAAAGGGGTGGGCAGATGCGCAGTTGCAGATGCCTCCTGAAGGGGGCAGCCTCCGCCCAGCCACAATGCAGACCAATGCCAGGCACAAACAGGGCCTCTCATTGCCAATGTCCTATCAGAGGAAATTCAGAAATCAGCACTGAAATGTCCTGATTTCTGAATGTTGGCTACTAATTCAAACATTTTGAAAGCATTTGTAGGCTAAGCTAAACCTTTTGCTGGACAGATGCAATCCACAGGTGGCCGAGTCACACTTCTACCTGCCCATTCTCCTGGGGTGAGGTTACCCTCTCCCACGGGTGAAAGAGCTGTTTCTGGGCCAACTCCTATATCTCCACCCTGACCTCTCTCTTTGGTTCTAGAACTCATGAACTCATCCTCCTCTATAGACACCTCATGCTCAGCACGGTCCGCACCATGGCACCGAATGACCAAATCCCTCTGCAGTTAAAAAAAAAGCCAGGAATCTGGATTTGCATGCAAAATCGCCAAGTTTTAAATTTCACATTAAAATTTTATCAGACAAAAAGTACTTTTTCTTGGGTCAGATTTGACATCATGGCCACCAAACTGCCACCCTGACTTTGTGCGAGCTGACTGTCCCCCAGGGGTGTGCTGAGTGCCCCACAGACATGCTCTCAACTGATCTTGGCCAAGGTCTGGAGGGGTGTTCATATTCCCGTGTCAGGAAAGGAGGCAGGCCAGCCAGGTCCAGTGACTCTCTGGGAAATTACATAGCTCATTGGTGGGAGCATAGTTTTTAGTCTTAGGTATTTTGGCTCAGTTTTCTTTTCCCCTGAGTTTGATGGGCAAGACCTTACTTCTTCTCTGTCGTTCACTTTAAATGCCATTTCCATTTCCAAGCTCTCCTTCTTTCCCACAACAATGCTAAAATTGTTGATAGAAACTCATGGTTATCTTACCAGTACCTGAGCATGATCTGTTCTCAAACCTCGGAGCATCTCTGGAACACTTGCAGAGGGCCGAAAGAGGCCACTTTTACTTGAATTGCCATCCTATCTTTTCATCCTGGGTGGTAGGAATGGATCCTACCCACCATCACTTTTATTACAAATCACCATACCTAGAGTAATCCTGTCTAGAGGAACTGGGACCAAAGTCACTAAAGGGTACCCAGTCGGCAGGGACCACTGAAATACATAGCCAAACTTCTGCATCTGCAAGGGCAAAGGGATGTGCTTGTCCTAACTACTCTTGCTAAGCACAGCTAAAAGCCCTGGATATTACATATAAAACAAACATAAGGAGACTCTGAAAATTAGAGCGAGAAGGCAGATCAGTCTGAAATCTTCGGACCCAAGAAATGACGTGGTGAGTTCCCTGGGTTTTGTTTTGCCTCATATAGTCCAGACTTGAAGCTGAAGAAGCTAGCAACCCAGAAATGCCATCGGAGCAGAATAGACAATGCCCAACAAAAGCACGCTCTTTCAGACCAAAGAGCCGGGAGAGGGAACCCTGAAAGACAGAAAACATTCAGATGTTACCCTTTCTACACTAGTCAGCATCATGTGGCCCACACCCTCATAGGTTGAATGGGTGACCTAGGTTTCTACCTCCACCTGGAAGCAATGAGGCACCCCTTCCGTTTTGTCCCCCAACTCCAGGCCTGGAGCAGCAGAGGCCAGCTAAAGCAGAAGGTTTAAATAAGATCCAGAATCTCACAACAACACAAAAATGTCCAGATTTCAACAGAAAATCACACATCTTACCAAGAACCAGAGAGATCTAAAATTGAATTTTTTAAAAAAGGAATAGATGCCAACAGAAAGAACAGAGATTTTTAAAGCAGCCACGATAAAAACGCTTCATTGAGCAATTGTGAACATGCCAGAAACTAAGGCAAAATAGGAAGTCTCAGGCAAGGGATAGAAAAGCTAAAAGGTGACCCCAATGGAAATTTTAGAACTGAAACATACAACAACTGAATTGAAAGCTCAGTGGATGGGTTCAAAGGCAGAATGATAGGGACAGAGGAAAGAATCAGTAAACTGGAAGATAGGACAGTAGAAATTGCACAGTTTGGACAACAGAGAGAAAATATACTGAGAAAAATTTGAACAAAGCCTCAGGGACCTTCAGGATTATAATGAGAGAACCAATATTCACATCATTCGAGTCCAAAGGGAGAAGAAAAAAAAAGATGGTAGGGTAAAAAAGTGCTTGAGGAAATAATGCCTGAAATGTTCTAGGCTGCTTTTCAAAAGCTATTGCTTTATTTCTTAAGTGAGATAGCAGGCGCGAAGCCTGGGCCTCCCCACACAGTGTGATATTGAGACAGCAGTTTTGGAAGGACAGCAGTTATTTTCAACACTGCTATGGTGTAAAGCGTTTTTGTGAAAGAAGGATACAAAGGCTGCTGAGGCCAGTGTGAGCAAGGGACGTGTGACACATAGCTCCTGAGTTCCAGGTGATATAAGTCCAGTGCTCCTTTCTGTACCCTCTCACCCACATTGCCAGCAGTCCTGGACAGCTTCTCGCCCTTCCCTGGCCTGTGGAGACGCACCAGATGTTTTGTTTGGGGGCCTGACTCCTGGGTCAGGGGAGAGTTGCTGTGGATGGGGGTGGAGGGAGAAGGTCTGAACTAGTCTATCTCTGATGACTTCCTGGGGATCCCCCACCCCGCTCCCCAATCCCTATTTTTATTTGTGTGTCTGTGTGTGAGTGTGTGTGTGTGGGGGGGCAGAGTGTGTGTGTGTGTGTGTGTGTATGTGTGATATGAATGTGTCTGCCCTTATGTGGATGACATGTGTGTCTCTGTGTATTTGTGTGGGTTGTTTCTGAGTGTCTCTTTGGGTCCATGTTCCCCTCTATGCGTATCTATGTGGGTTTGTGCGTCTCTGCAGAGGTCATGTGTCTTTCCTTATGTACTGAGTGTGTATGTTCTGTGTGTCTGCGTGTGGTGAGTTCTGTGTCTGTATGTGTATAGTGTATCCGTTTGTTTATCTGTGGGGAGTCTGTGTGCCTGCATGCATGCATGTGGTGTATCTGTGTGCATTTGATGTGTGTCCCAGTGCACGTCAGTGTGTGCATATGTGTTCCAGTGTGTTGTCCATGCCTATGCTTGTGGTCTCTGCGTGCGGGGCTGTGTGCACCTGCACGTGTGTTAGGTGTGCGGGCCTGAGGGCTCCATGGTGTGCATGCCCGCATGGGTGTGGCATGTCCTCCGGAGTCTCCCCTCTGGAGAGTCCAGTTCTATCCAGGGCCCGTGACAGCGCCCCCGCGGCTACCCTGGGGCGCCGGAGCCCACGAGGCCGGCGCGAGGAGCGCGTGGCCGAGCCCACGAAGGCGCCCCGCTCCTCCCCGCAGGCCGGGCACACGTGGGCCCGGCGCCGCCTCCCCGCGCGCCGCCCGTCCGTCTCCCTCGTCCCCACCCACCGCGGGCCGCACCCCCCCCCCCCCCCCCCCCCGAGCCGGCCGGGGATAAAGTGGCGGCTCCGGCGCCGCGCCCTGTCCCCCCACCCGGAGCCCAGGCACCCAACCCAGCTCGGCCGTCCCCGGCCCGCGGCGGACCCGGACCCGCAGCGCTCGGGAACGCAACGGCGGCGGCGCTCGAGCCCCGGTAACTGCCTCCCCGTCCCCGCCCGGCCCGCGAGCGCCGCCGCCAGGACAGGGGTGGGGAGCGGCTGCGGGGTCCCCGGGCCGCTGGGCGTGGGCTCCCGCACCCTCCGGTGCGCGCGCGTGTGTGCGCGCGTGTGCGTGTGTGTGCGTGTGTGTGTGTGTGTGTGTGTGTGTGTGTGTGTGTGTGCACCGCCGTGCGCGCGCCTGTCAGCCTGTGCGCGCGCGCGCCCTCCCCGCGCCCAGGCACCAGCCTCCGAACCAACCAACTTGTCCGCATCCGCTCCATCTTCCCGGCTCCGGCCAGGTTTCCCCGCGGCATCGCCCGTGACAGCCGCCGGGCGCCGTCCCCGGGGCTGCCGGGGACGCGCAGGAGGCAAAGTTTGCCGGGAGCCGCGGGGTGACTCTCCTCGGGGACCCGCATCGGCGCCGGGTGCGAGCCGCCTCGCCGCGCGCGGTTCCCCAGGTTCTCGGGCGGTGGGTGCTGGGCTCCCGGCCCCTCCCTCCCCCGAGCCCATTCGGCGGCGATTTCTTTGGGAAAAGTGATGACACGAACTAGTAGCGGAGGATCGCAGGCGCCGGTTCCCCGCCCCGGGAAGGGAGGGGAGCCGCGGAGAACTTGTCAGTGAGCGCTGGAAGCAGGCGGCCGGGCTCCGCTCCCCGAAAGGCAGGATTGCGGGGCAGGGCGCGGGGGAGCGGGCGGACTGGGGGGCTCCAGCTGCTGGATGCCGCGCTCCGACCTCGCAGGCGATGAGGGAACAGCCCTTATCTGCCCAGCCCTCCTCTGCCCGGCTCTGATCCTCCCGGCGGTCGCGGTGGTGGAATGCAAAAACCAGGAAATGATGGAAACAGGTTCGTCCAGCCGGCATCTTTGGAATTCCAGGCAGGAAGCATTACAGGGAGCGCCATCACCTCCTGGCTGCCCCCCCCCCTCCCTCCCTTGAAACTTCCTAGGAAATTTGAAGATGGCTGGATCTTCTCGCAGCTAGGTCTTGATTCCCACGGAGCTAACTATAATCTCCACTTGATGATAGCTAAAATAGTCTTTAGGACGAAGTTTCCCGAAATGATTTAAAATAAATACAGATGGAAAGGAGAGGGGTAAGGGAGGGGGGAGGGAAGGGGAAAGCTGTAATGAGGCACTTAAAAAATAAAGTCAGCTTTTCTTAAGAACAAATGGGGCTTTTCAGTGTTGGAGAGATTGCAAGAGATGTATGTATTTTTTTTTTTTAAATCTTCGAAATGGAGTTTTTAAAAACTGCTTTTAAAAAAAAATTGTTACCGACAAGGCTTTTCTCCCCTGTTCTCTGCTTTTGCCATGTTTCTGACTTTGGAATGTGTCCTCCTTTCTCCCCAGGACTTGGACGTCCTCTCAGAATGCCGGAGGAATGTTCTCCCCGGCGGACCCCGCAGAACGTCCCATATCAGGACCTCCCTCACCTGGTCAACGCTGATGGCCAGTACCTCTTCTGCAAGTACTGGAAACCTGCCGGGACTCCCAAGTAAGTCTTCCCCCGATGCCCCGATACCTCCATACCTGCCTCCCTCCTCTCGCTCCTGGGGTGTCACCTATGGGGCCACGTGCTCCAGGATCTGCTTCACCTGCCCCTTGAACAGACATGAGGCTCAGCCATGCTAACGAGGTTGACATGGATACCTTATTTTTATTATGACAAATAGGATAGGGATTCTGCTGCAGGGCGGTTTTCAAGAATTCCACATGACTTTCATTTTTGTACTGGAGTTGGTTTCCCGTTGTACGTCTTTAAAATCAGGCCCAATGCTTACAGAAAACCACCTAAATCAGATAAGAAAATCAAAATTATATTTAGTAACCTTTGTTCTCTTTTTCCTGTTTGGTTATGAGCTCTCGAAGGTGTCATTCCTTTTCTTGGAAGGAAGCGTTCAGGGTTATTTCCTCTGATTTCTTGCCAGCTGGGTTGCTTTTATATTTTCCCACCCAGGATTGTCCTGCTGTTAGAAACAGGACTTGGGACTGTCCATAATGAGACAGCTCGCCTCCTGCTGCTCTTGTCTTGTCTGAAACAGGGACAACCCTGCTTGCTTGTGTTGTGCAGGGAAAGAAATGATTTGTGGTAACCAATTGGCCTAGTGATGAATGAATAGTTCCATGGACAGCTTATACCTGCTCCTTCCTAGGCCTCTTGTCTCCTAGGGAACATGGGGAGGTGTGATGATATGTCTCTCTCTGGGTTTCTGTAATCACCTAACCCTAGCACAGCTATAAAACGTCTCTGATACCTTTAACAGGCCTACCTGTAACAGGTATATGTGTAACAGGTATATCTGTAACAGGTGGCTGCACATTAAAAAAAAAAAAAAAAAAAAAAAAAAAAAAAAAAAAAAAAAAAAAGCAAAGCTATGGACTTTTTAAAGATCTAGCTGAAATGCATAGCTTCAATGCAGCTGTACAAAGTAGCTATCGTAGTAGGCTGTTAATAGTTCCTAATAGCCCTGGCAATGTCCTTCTTAAAGGTTCCCCCCGGAGGAGAGCATGTGTGTGTGTGTGTGTGTGTGTGTGTCTGAACATGCACATGTGTTAGATGGAGGGAGGGTTGTCAAGCATGACCTTTGTGCTCCATGCTGACTTATTCTCCACCCTGACTTCACTGGCTGTAGAATTACAAATTCTTGGTTGAATTTCTAACAACTTAACGGTAGATGGTGAGTTATTTTTCAGTATACAAAAAGAGGACATAAAAGTGAAAGGAGACGTTTTTCATGTCTGAATCTCAGACTGCGGGGACTTTCTCTGTTGAGTGGGAGGTGGTTCTGGTTTGAGGTCAGGGGGAGAAAGAGGGCCTACAGTCCTCACACGGGGGCAGGGTGTGGGTGAGTGTTGGGAAAGGCTGGCTTCAGTGTTTCACAGTCTCCAGGCCGGTGCTGCACCGTGGGGAGCTCTCTGCTATTTCACCTTTGCTCTGGTCAGAGACTGAAATCCAAGAGTTTAATCAGAGCTGTCACTTGGAAGTCAGTGTTTGCGTCCTAGCGGATGTTGATGGAAATAAAGAATGGGGTGGATGGTGGGGCAAGTGGGCCCTGGGTTTTGGAAGAGAACAGTGGCTGGGAGGTCAGGTGACAACCAAGGCCACAGAAGTTGCATCTCTAACCCAGGTGGCTTGACTTCAGCTCCAAAACCCCCCTGTAGCCCACGACCCAAGGTGCTCCGCCTCTACCTGCTGGAGATGGTACAGATCAATAAACTCCCCTTTGGGGTTGGGCGTCCCCCTCTGTCAGGGATCTTTACAACATTTCACAACCAGCTCAGACCAATGAGAACCTCCTGGATGCCCCTTCGATGACACCGGTTAACCTTGTGCTTGCTGCATCATGGGGAGGGCCAGGCAGCTCTGGGGGAGGGATCATGGCAGCTGGAGTGGTGGGAAGGCAGTGGGGGCCTCAGGGCAGAGGTTTATGAAAACTGGTACAAAGCATCTCCATATCTTAATTACTGAGAGCAGCTGCTGAGTAGGTTGCCTTCTCGCGTGGCCTGGGATACCTCTGCTGTTACCTTTTAACATTGCTGCCTGTTGCTTTTAAGATCGGGGAGAAGACTATAGGCCACCACTGGCTGCAGCCTGTCTCCTCCAGGGACTCTCCTTCAGGCCTTTCCCCCCAGTCCAGCTCAGGGTCTTCCCTACTCTACCATGTGGGGGGAAACACAGGCAGACACCACCGTCTCTCCACTTGTTCACTTTGCTCCTTTAAAAAGGCCCTTGGGACCTCAGAAGACCCCATGGGCCATCTTACACAGAGGGGTGGTGTGCCTGCCTTCCTTAATTGGCACAAGTTGGGTTGGTTTTCTGGTCAGCCCAGCTCTCTGCGCCTGCCCAGGGCACCTGACCTAACATTCTGCCCTCAGGGGACTTACTGGGCACCAAAACCAGCCCCGAAGTTGGCTCAGAGCACCACTGGGTCACAGGTGACAGCCATAGCTGGGAAACTGGCTTAGCTGGCTTTTGGAAACAAATCATGTCCTCATACCGGATCCTGAGAAAGAAGCAAGTATTCCTTAGGATAGCCATTACAACGTGTGTCCAAGAACAAAGCTGTTCTCAGTATAGCAGGCTAGGATTTAGTCATTAGGAACCTGAGATTTTAAACCTACATCTGTCAATACCAAGGCAAATTTATGCTCAACTAGTAGTATTTATTTGTTTGTTTGTTTGTTTTTTATTGATTTTATACAGAGAGGAAGAGAGAGAGATAGAGAGTTAGAAACATTGATGTTGATCAACTGCCTCTTGCACACCCCCTGCCGGGGATATGCCCGCAACCAAGGTACATGCCCTTGACCGGAATCGAACCTGGGACCTATGAGTCCCCAAGCCAACGCTCTATCCATTGAGCCAAACCGGTCCTGGCTCAACTAGTAGTATTTATTTATGGCAATAACAAATGTTAGACTTAATAGCAGAATTATCTCATATTGATTGAGTATCAAGTATGTTCTGAGGCCTGGACTAGACTCAGTACAGACATATCTCATTTTATCTTTACATCAACATGTGAGACAAACTTATTATTATTATTATTATTATTATTATTTTACAAATGAGGCAGCAGTCAACTGTTCTTAAAATTGTTTCCTAAGTAGCGCTTCTTTATAAATTCTTACATCTTTGTTGGTAAAGAGTAATAGAAGAATCAATTCTCCTTAATCATTTGCTCAGAATATATGAAAAGTGGGACATCGACTAAAGATATGTATCCAATCTGAAACAAACAAATCTGTTGTCCTCGGGGACTGACTGGCTGCCGTGTAGAGGATTCTTCAGTACTTTGGATTTTTTGAAATGCTGGTTCTTCAACAGTTTCACTGGTGGTATCGGCAGAGTAGTGGAGACTAGCTCGGGTGGGGGGTGCATTGCTTTGTGGGCTCTTCATATTCAGAAAGGGTGGGAGAGTGGGGATAATATTTAGTGCCTTTAAACTCAGTCCACCAAGTGCCCCTCAGTCCATTGAAAGAACAACTTCAAATTAACGCCTGAATGTTACTTAGTCATTTTCGGGACAGGGAAGGTGTTTCTGCACCGAATGTTGCATGACTGACTGCATGCCATTGTTGGTGGGTGGGATGCTGGGGGTCGTCTGACCCAACACTCACTTTGATGGCTTGATTCCCCGGAAGCCCTGCTTTGATCCTGTCTGACCGGGAAGGCTGGAGAGCACGCTATAAATAAGATGACACAGCTGCACCCCCTGGCACGGTCCGCTCCAGGCGTGACCCAGATCACGTTCTTCTGCTCACCGTGAAGGCCTGGCCTGATGGAGATGGATGTGGAACAAATGTTTTGGTGCTCTCCACCTGTCTGTAAGGCTGATGCCCCTCTCCTGCCGTGTGCACGTTGTATCTGGGTAGCCTTTCAACGCCGGGGAGCTGTTCAGCGTTCCTTTTGGTGGCTTCTGTTCGGGTGGTTAACTGGTGCACGGAGGGAGCTATTTCAACATGCAGGCACCCCTCCGCCTGCAGATGTCCTGATGCAAACCCCCGGGAGGGGATCTCTCCCACCCTCCCTGAAGAATCGCAAGTGACTCATCTTGGAGTGTTCCATGTAGCATTTTGTTGCAAGCTCCCCTGCGTTTTCAGAGATCTTCCAGAACATAAGCCTGGGACGTTCCTAGCTTCCTCTTCATTCCCTTTCTTGCCTCCAGCTTCAGTAGCCTGACTTTTCCCTCCAGTAACTCTGCAGCCACACCTTCACCATGGAGATCCCTCTTCTTACCTCCCCAGCCCCACCAATCTGACCTGCTCCCCCAAACAGTCCGCTGCTGGTGTGGTTTTCCAGATCTTCCCATGGTGATGTGGAGTTAGGGCTGGCAGTGGGGCACATGGCTATCCAAGAGTAGGGTAGCTTCGGTTCTGGTGGTCATGGTCGGTGGACCTAGAATCAGTTAGCCCACGGCCCCTCTCCCACTGCTCCTGTCCTAATTCCTTATAGCCCTGGACTGGGGCTCAGCGGACATCCCTACCTCTGCCCTGCCCTTTCCTGGGCTACCGGATCCCTTTCTCCATGAAGACCTTCCCAATAGTTTGTCCGGAGTTTGGGGCAGTGCCCTCAGAGGACACTTCCTCCCACCTCTACAGATTTACCTGGAGGAACAATTCCCTGAAGCTGGAATATATTGGAAGGCTAAAAAAATATTCTCCCTTCCTGCCTCCCTTATAATGTCCCCCTCACATCGGCCGCCAGCCACTTGGGGGTGGCACCTGTGGCTCCGGAAGATAAGGGCCCCTCCCAGCCAGCTGGATCCAGACCAGGGAGATGCAGAGTCCTTACCATCTGGCTGGACATAATTTCTATCCCCGCTGCCTTCTGGAAATTTTGTTCTCAGAGATCAGATGGGTGTTTCCCTCTTCTCCCCTCTCTTGTAGGCTTTCTAATCAGGCGGTAAGTCTGTTAAATGGCGCCTTTCTCCCCCCACCCTCCACCCCCACCCCCAGCCTGGGGTTTGCTCAATGTTCTGAGTGAAGGTGCTG